TATTCACTATTCTTTGCCAACATCATTAATTCAAAGGAATCAATTCTTCGATCTTCCTTATTCACTGTCCAGCTTTCGCATGCATATGAGGCAACTGAAAACACCATGGCTTGGGTCACCTTAGTCCTCAAAGTGACATCTTTGCTTTTTAATGCTTTAAAGAGGTCTTTTGCAGCAGATTTGCCCAATGCAATACATCGTTTGATTTCTTGACTGCTGCTTCCATGGGCGTTGACTGCAGATCCAAGTAAAATGAAATCCTTGACGACTTCAATCTTTTCTCTGTTTATCATAATATTGCTTATTGGTCCAGTTGTGAAGATGTCTGTTTTCTTTATGTTGAGGAGGTGTAATCCATACTGAAGGCTGTAGTCTTTCATCTTCATTAGTAAGATGAAAATGCAGGGCAGCAAAAAGAATATATTTAGGGAAGTCAGGCTTTTATTATTTTACTCCTTTTACAATAGAGTTGCTATGAGTTGGAATCGACTCAATGGCATGGGTCTTACAGGTTTCACTAAAGGAAACTTGTATTTGAATATATTTAAATATTTTTCCATTTTGGACTGAGTCATTCTTGAGACTTGTAGAGAGCTGAGATTTTCTGCTGAAGGGCAAGTTTCTGTGTTTGGGTCACTACAATTACACATATACCATAGTGGAACGTGACTTCTTATTCTACATGTTTACATGTACTACACGTTGAGATTAGAACCTCCAAATTTTATATGAGAAAAGCTAAAATAACCAAGCCAAATGATGGATTTTAATGTTTATCAGCAACACCTCTACTGCCCCGAATGTCAAATGACCTACACTAAGACAATCAAGATTTGAGGGAGTCTCACTTCATTGTTTCCATACCAAATGCACTGTGATAATTGAGATTTTCAAGTTTCCTGTGTAACACACACACACACACACACACACACACATACTTTTTCTCTCTCTCTCAACAAGAAACACAAACAATTTATCTCATGGCAAAAATGCTAGCTACCCAGTTTTCACTTATGAGCTAAAAAAGATAAGAATCTAACACAAACTAGTCAGTTATTAATGAATTTATCCATTGATAAATACCACATTATCATTTATAGTGATTGTGCTCTATGTGTTCTTTTCTTACTAAATATAACTGGATTCTACTTAATTATTTCTTCTTTAATTTACCTTCTAGAATGAAACCAAAGTATATCATAAAAACCTGTGTTAACACAGGTCACACCACTTTTTTTTTCTTTTGTTCTTTTTATGTGACTCTAAAATCATTCAAATGGCTTTGGCAATGATTTATTAAAGAATTAAATAGCATAATCTCATTTTTCCATGCCTGGACTAAACTAGAAAAAAAAGTTAGTGAATTATGATTCAAAGGTGTGGTTAGAAATTAATTCGTAAACAATAATTGTATTCAAACAACGTAGAGTATGACATATTAGTTTGTAAAATGGCAAAACCAAACATTAATTCTTATAACAATGGAAGCAAATGGTATAACCATTTAATGATTCTTTGTTTTCTGAAGAAAAGGATTTTTATTCCTCTAAAATCCTGTATTTAAGTACTCTTCACTCAGAAAACCTTCCTATATTAACCTAAAATTTTCTTTGACACTTTGTCTCCTAAAGGGTAGCAAAAAGCTGTAAATATTAATCACTACATTTTGTTGCAGAAAACATTTCAACATTTTATGCTTCTCTAATGTGTAGCTTCTATGAAATTAAATGCATGCTCACAGTCAAAATTTTATTTCCATAAAGAACCGTCACTGCATGACTATTCTACCATGCTAAACGTGCTAGATTTTTAATTATATTCAATTTGATTTAAATTAATATTTACAGTATTTATCACAGTATCTTTTAGTAATACATATCAAAATCTGATCAGATTGTAACAACATTTTTTACATACAAAACTTAAAAAAGGATGTCTTTAACGTTTAAAAAATGGTTGGTCAAAAGTTTTTGGTTTTTTTTTTAAATTTTTTCTTAATTTAAATGGTTTCATAGGCATAACCTTCAAATGTCATTGTGAAATTTAAGAATTTGGTATTCCCAAAGTTACTAAAATCTTTACAGACACCTTTTCTTAAGAATAATAAAGTATGATATAGATACATAATAAGCCTTAAAAAATACCTGAGAGGTCTTGCCTGGGGATTGCCTGCTTCTACATATGGATGTAAATAATCCTTTATGTAGAGGTCAGCAGCACTATTAGAATGGGTGCAAATGAGAATCCTGCTGAAATAAATGGTGCAAATAAAAAGAATGATAAAACACAAAACTATTTAAGCAGTAAAATACCAAAAAAAAAAAAAAAAAAAAAAAGCAGTGGCCATCTTAATACTACACATTTCCCTCAACCAACTCAATAATCTCTAACATATGATGCCTTCAGGAAATTACTATTTTTTAAAACTATTAACAGAAGTAAATTCCCAAAAATTACTTTTAATTCTATCACACATTTTTTTTTTTTAAACACCCAACTCTGTTAGCTCTAACATACACCACAATTCCTTAGTCAACTTGGAGTTTTGATGGCTATTTAAATACTATCTTTCTCTACATCGACAATTTTTTAAAAACTATGTTTTAATAGAATTCAAATTTAATGCTTTGGGTTTTTTGGTTTTGGTTCTTTTTTTGCTTTGTTTAATTTTTAAAAGCTGGATGAAAATTGTCTTGCTAGCCCTCATTTTGTATTTAAAACAAGAACAGAGGTAGTGCCCTGCTAATTAAATATGAACAATACACCAACATCTCACCTAGTCTCCTGTTGCTGGAGTATATGCTTGACAGCCTGAGCTAGTGTGAACGTTTTGCCTGTCCCATAGGGTCCGATGATAAGAACAGGTGGCAGTTGTATAGAAAGTGGAGTTGTAATAGCCAGAACAGCCTCTTTCTGTTTTGCATTTAGTCGAGGATCCAACTGCTCATCCCACTGTCTGTAGAAAATTTTAAAAATTAGGTTATTTGAAATAGTACATGACATACAGGTATCCTGAATTTCACTGAATAATTACAACTACTGAAATAACACAGCCTCTATAAAGATTAATGTTTATTTAAAAAAATTTTTTTAGAAAATTACCCAGCAGAACCTGTGTAGGGTGTTTTACTATGTAAATCAAAACTAAAGTTATTATCTTGTCCTATTTCAAGTGCAATAAGATTTTGATAACTAAAAACAAAACAAAAAAAAAAACAAAACACAATTCTAGTTTAGTTGCTTACAAGTCTATGAATAGTAATAGCAATGTGTCAAGGATTTAACTTCTGTTACATAAAAGCATCAGAAAACTTTTTTGCTGTAATAATGAAGAAGTAATAGTTTCTTTGCATATCAAATAAAATGCAAAAGGAAGCTAAAAGAACTTCAAAATCTAATCCACTGAAAGATCTTAGTCAAGTTTAAAATAAAGGAGAAAAGAAAAAAAGTCTCTGTCCCTAGTCTAAGAGATATCAAACTTTTACAAAGATCTTAGCTTAAAAAATAGAAGTTTTTAAAGAAGGTATCAAAATAGCCAAAGAATATGAGATATTTCCTAATGTTTTCACACACACATACATATACACAAATAACACTGGTTTTTTTGGTCAGGGTAGAGAACACCTGTCATCATTGCACAAATGGCTACTGTAACAAGATCTATCCTACTAGTGTTCCTACTATGACTTGGCCAAGTTTCGAAGACTTAAAGGAATAGCAGATGTTGAAAGGGATCAAACCAAGTGGAGAATCAGCAGCATTCTTTCTCACAGCTATAATTAAAATACAAAATATCACAACAACTATGGTAAAAATGATAGGGATGTGAACCAAAATAGGAAGGGTGTGTAAGAGACTCTTAGAAAATCTGCAAATTCCCTGCAAAATAAACCTGAAATAGACAAGACACAGTTTAGACAGGAAAATTCCCTTTGTGAGGCTATACTCCACTTCAATTGGAAGCTAGTTACTTAGAGAAAATCTACTTAACATTTTCAATTTAAAAAATATATACTAGTGTTAAATTATGACAGATGTCAAACAAAAATCTCCTAAAAAATATAAACCTTAGAAAACAAACGTTGACTCTATAAACACTCCACTACTTATTTTTCTGAAATCTAAAATTTTTAAAGTGAGTTAAAAAAAAAAGAAAGACTCTGAGCAGTACCAATAGATTTCCTGGAAGCATTCACTAAAGCTCAAATATTTCACTCCACAGAGTCCCTCAGCTCTTGCAGGTTTATTTACTCATAACTCTGCCACTAAATGAAGAAATTGCTTTAAATGATCTCTAAGTACATATTTAAGTCCAGATGTAATGTATGTGGCAGAGACTGTGGACTGGTTACTTCAAAACCATTCACAGCACCCTTTTCCTTTGTCTTCTTCTACTATAGAGATTGTTGTTGCAGTGGTGGTGGTGGTGTGCCATCGAGTCGATGACTACAGAGACTAGGATGCTAAAATACTCGCTTTCCCAGCCTCCTCAGCTGGAGACCCAATTCTGATCAATGAGATGGAATTTCCTACTCAATAAAACAGTAACAAAGCCTCACCAAAAGAAAGCCCTTCTTGCTCCTTCACCTTCCCTCTTCACCTGACTAGATCAAGCTTGTGGTAAATAAACCTGCAGCAGCCATCTTTAAACCATGAGGCAAACAAGCATCAAGAGGAAAACCTACATGTGGTAGATGGCAAAGAGGTAAGAGAGAGCTCTTGGTTCTTGATGGCACTGCTGAGCCCTGCACCAGCCTTGAATCTCTAGTGCTTTAAGCCATAATTCGCTGGGTAAACTGTTACTTGGATGCCTACTTGACCAATAGGATACTATATCTAAGCACAATGGTTCTATACATGGACATGATGTTACTTGCATCGGATGATTATTTTAAAGATGAGATAATACATGTAAAACTCTTTAGGAAAGCATTTGAGCAATAAGTGTTCAATTAATACTGGCTTCTATTACTATAATATTTTCTGATGATTTCAGAAAATTGAAACTTGTGTACTTGGCTAGTAAAAAGTTAAAAAAAAGTTTATTAAAAAAAAAAAACTCACCTTCAAAATGTGGGGCCTAAAGAGGCTAGCAACAAGACGGATATTAGATTATATACATAAGCATAAATCTAAGAGATTAATGACAGATACACACGTACAATGCTAAAATACGACAATATTTCTGTATTTACATAGTTCATTTTGCTTATCAATTGTTTCAGTGTAAATAACTGCTTCAGAGAAGATCAGAAACTTTATCTGGTCATGAATAAAAACATTTACAGAAAGGCAATGAGTAAAACATACCGTATTCACTTATTGTACCACCTGCTTAATGAAGGAAAGAAGATTTATAGCATACATGCTAATAAGAGTCATCTCTGATTTTCAAAATTTAAAACACTACAAAATTGTCTCTTTAAGTTCATTCTGAATAAAATAATTTTCTCTCCTGAACCAAGTTAACTGAAAGTCTTTTTTTTTTTTCCTGGCCTAACACTTTAATTAATTTGTAGTCTACATGCTCAAGAATAATTTCTCAATTTCATTTATTTATCTATATTCCACCTTATTCCAGAAAAGATTTAAAATGGCTAATGGTTTCTCAGAATGTTCCTAAACCCAGATACCTTCTAATAATTATTTAAATTACAGTACTATGGGGTTTTTTTACTGCTTGAAAGCTTTCAGCTACTTGGCATTTTTTACAGTGAATTTCGCAGTTAATATTTGCAGTTAGTAGTATTTCACTATACTAATTATTTAAAGAAAAAAAATTGCTGTCGAGTCGATTCCAACTCATAGCAACCCTACAGGACAGAGTAAAACTGCCCCAAAGGGTGTCCAAGCAGTGGCTGATGGATTCGAACCGCTGACTTTTCAGTTAGCAGCCAAGCTCTTAACCACTGCACCACCAGGGCTCCATACAAACTACAAACAATATAATTTTCAGAAGTGAGCATATCAAGTAAACTCCTAAAATTTTACTGGTATGGCCTCACATCTGAAGCCCAAATTTTCTTTTTTAGACTTGAAATTATTAATTTAATAAATTAATCAAATATTAGTATGTACCAAGCCCTGCTGCAGATTCAAAAGTATGTAAGACATGGTCTTTTCCTTTAAAAAGTTCAGAGTTTAGTGAGTATAGTAGAAATGTATGCAATTGACAGAAATCTAGAGAAACCATGCTTGAAAGTACATAACTGACTGAGCCTAGTACATGGAAGGCTCATGGATGGGTGAGGTTCATCCACTTGAAGGTGAGAACACTTGAGCTGAACTAAATCTTAAAGGACAAGTGGATTGCTAACAAATTAATATTGGGCAAAGACCACTTCAGAAAGAGAAAACTACTTAAAGATAAGGAGACAAAAAAAACATGTAGAAGAAATTAAGCTTCAAGATAATTTAATATGGCCAGAACATAGGGATTTAAGAGGAAGGAAGGGGGTGCCAAATAGAAAACAGTAAAGGAAATCTGAAAAGATATTGTTACAAAGCAAGTGTCAATGAGATCATGTAAGAGAGCTTTTTATTAGGCTGTCCAGATTTTACCACATATCCAGGAGAAGGCCTCAGAGATTTGCAAGCAGGGAAATGACATGATCATTTTAGAAAACTAACTCAGGAAGAACATGTGGTTTGGATCAGATAAGAGCGACACAGACAGCAAGATGGAAGACCAAGTGCAGGGCTTGTGAAATAGTAGCATTAAGCACTGGCTATAAGAATGGAAAGAAAGGGAAAGATGCAGAGAAGCTGACTCAGGCAAGAAGTGAGACAATGTCACTGGATTTTTACAATTCATAGATCACTGACAACTTTCAGGAGAGTGGTAAAGTGAAAAATAGATTGCAGAGTGAATAAGTAAGAATACTGGAATATATATAGACTATTCCTTCTCACAATTTTAACAGCAAAAGAAAGTGGATCGGGTAGAAAAACGAGATGATTTGGTTTTGTATTATAAGGCATAGTTTGTTTTGTCCTATTTTTAGGACCAGGAGAAATGGAATGTGAGGGGAAGTGATATCGGTCACTTCTAGGCCTGGCCCATTACATTTCCCACATGACCCTCTGTGCTCATTCTTCCCTTGTATGCTAGCTGGATGTCAATACCAGGGCTACCTTGGAAACCATCTATTGAAGATATCAGAGCCTCCTTTAGTCATGAATAGGGCCACCCACTATGACTGGATTGACAAAAGAGGTAAATAAACTTTTATTGTGTAGAGCCACTGAGATTAAAAAAAAAAAAAAGTGAAGTGAGTTGTTGATGGACAGAAGCCAAGTGAAAAGGAAAAAATAAAGATGCAGTCGTACAGCTGTTACTGCTGTCTATTCTTGAAACAAAATAGAAGTACCTTATCATTTAATTGTGTGCAAAGATGTGCCAAGAAGAATTTAAGCAGAACAATATTTACACAACCATTAACTTGAAAGCATATTCATTAACTTGAAAGCTATGGTAGTACCTTCTGTGATACTTCCTTCATTTTGCTAACTTACAAAAATTATTTTAAATTAACTATTTGAACCATTTCAGAAAGGCCCTAGTTTTTCCATTCAACTTCTACTGAGAAATATTCCTAAATTTCTTGGTATCCTGTCCAGTTAAGGCTGTTGAGTAAAACAATAGCACTTGTCTAGACTCTGAGGTAAAGAAAGCAGATGATGATGAACCCTCAAATGTTTTCAGTATATTATTCTCCTTTCTCAACTAATAAAATGTCTCTTGAAGACACTGGGAAACTTTCTTATAAAAGTATTATTGAGTTGTTAGATAGGAACCGGAGGGGGCCGTGAGTTTATGCTAACAGGGGAGGAGCAACTCAGAAAATGAGGGTGAGAATGGTTGTACAACTGAAGGAATGTAATCAATGTCACTGAATTGTACATGTAGAAACTGTTGAATTAGTATATGTTTTGCTGTGTATATTCTCATCAACGACAAAAAATAATAATAATTTTTTTTAAAAGTATGCTTGAGTTACTTAATGCAGGTATTCAATGGAACATGAACATAATTTCCTTTAATGAGATATCTCCTTTTTATACCTGTTGGGACTCCAAGGTATAGTGGGATTCATAGTGATGTCTGGAAACAAAACCCCATTGTCCTTGATCCTGTCTAGTGCATAATGCATTTCACAGAGGGGTAAGCGATTTAATTGAAACTGAAGTTCAACCTGAAATACACACACAAAAAATTTTTTTAATAAAGAACTGAAGAAAACATTAACACCTGCGGTTCACTAGACTATTTTGTGGAGACAACCTTTTAGGGTGGACAAGTTTAGAGATTCTTTTAAAGTGTAATCATATTCCAATAGTAATTATTGCTAATATTTGCTTTGTTTATTTAGTGCCAGGTGTTCTAATAAGCACTTTACATGGATTATCTCATTTAATAGTACCAATGATGTGCGTGTGCGTGTGTGTGTATTATTATCCTCATTTTACACGTAAAGAAACTGAGGCACTTGTAAATTACTTAATCTCTGGTATCAAAAAATGAAACAACTTTTCATAGTTAACAAAACATTGGAAGACAGTGTTAAGGTTATGGCTGAAACCTCAATTACTGAAGAACAATTTATCAAACAAAATGGAGTCCTCTGCAAGTTCTCAAAAGAAATAAGTAATATGCTAAAAAAATCTTGGAACTCAAAGTAATACTTAAATAAGTTGATATTTATGTAAACTTGATATTTATTTATGTACCTTCCCTTTATAATTTTTACAAAATATTTTATTCCTGGACCAATTAAATGTCTCTCTTACAACACCTGGACTTAATAAACATATGTCAATATTGAGCTGAAAAGAGTAGGTGAATGATAATAATTTAAAGCACAAATTCACTGGACCGATATAATAAATCACTGAATGTATGTCTGTTAAGAGCTGCTGACACTATTTCTGATGAATGCTCTTTCAATTAAAGCAAAAAGTCAGAGGAGTGAAAAACTTTCTCTTGCTTTCTGAGAAATCAAATTCCTCTCAACAAAACATGATGCCTTGTTTACAATAAGTTAAAATATAGCAGAAATTTTATAGTAATCATTTTATTTTTATTACTGTGGTTACAATTTTTTTTTTCTTTTCTGTTTGTTTTGTTTTCAGGTAGCTTTCTTTCTCTTTATTTTTAACTGAGGTATAACTTTCATACAGCAAAGTGTACAATCTTTAGTGTACAGCCTGATATACTTTACATATGGACACACCTGTAATACATGTAGATACACCTGTAACCACCAGCCAGGTAAGGCTGCCAGATAAAATATAGGATTCCCAATTAAATTTGAATTTCAGATAAACAATGAATAACTTTTTGCATATGCATACTTACATTAAATATGCTTATTCAAAAAGAAAAGTATTCATTGTTTATCTGAAATTCAAATTTAATTTTTTTTTATTTGCTAATAACTCTGGCAACCCTATACCCAGGACAAGTTACAGAATATTCCACCATCCCAGAAGGCTCCCTCATGCCCCCTCCCAGGCAAAACCCATCCTCAGAAGGAAGCATTATTCTGCCCTCTCATTACAGGTTAGTTTTTTCTATTTTTGAACTTCACATAAGTGGAATCATGTCACATGTACTTTTTTGTGTCTGGTTTCTTTCTTTCAATATTATGTCTGTGAGATTCATCCATGATGCTCCATGTAGCAGTAGGTTGTTCTTTTTCATTGCTATGTAGAATTTCATTGTATGAACATATAACAAATTATTTAGCCATTATGCTGCTCTACAATTTATTTTTAACTAAATTGATTCTAAACTCATAGTGGATAATGTAATACAACAAAAGATGGTGTTACTCAACAGCTCATTCAAAAGATTTATAAGAATGCTATAAATCTGTTAAAAACAAGCAGAGGCGTTTTCGAATACTCAGGGCAGAGTTGAATTACTAAATAAACCAAAACCAAACCCACTGCTGTTGAGTCGATTCCAACTTATGGTGACCCTACAGGACGGAGCAGAACTGCCCCATAGGGTTTCCAAGGAGCAGCTGGTGGAGTCGAACTGCTAACCACTGTGCTCCCAAGGCTCCCAGTTACTAGATAAAGGCTATCTAATCCCACTATTCCTGTGAAGAATGGATTCAAGAAAATCAGCAGAACACCTGTGAAATATCATCTCTCCAGTGATAAAAACCTTTCAGCCCTATGACCTATCGATTTATCATGAATTAATAATATTCGCGTTTTATGTTTAAAAAAGAAAAATGATTAGCCTTCCAGTTAAACATGGCAGACTCAATACAGAGTTCATCTATAAACCCATAAAGACAATGAGAACAGGAGGTGATACAACTGCAGCTGAGAGATATCACCGGATGACTGCTTAGTTTCTTTTCATCTGTTCTTCCACTGCTAGGTTAAAACTCTGATCAGAAAGGTAAATCTTATATAAAACTGGAACATTTTAGATGTTACTTAGATTAAAAAGAATCTATTCTCTCTGGGATTTACCAGAGGTCCAATTCTCAACCCACCAGTGTAACACTTCAAAGTCAAATGAGCTTGTCATGGCAGAAGAAGGCAAACCAAACCAGAAGAACATCAGCTGACAAGGAGATCACAGACAACCACACTTAAACTGCCGCCCTTCCAAACACACCTGTGTGTCACAATCAGGTCGAAGATTAAGTTCTTCACAGCATTCCCTGGATATCCTTAAAAATATATATTCTTTTGTTTTTTCTTCAATAGTAGCTTCATAAACCTTCTCTTTGGTTCCCTGGGTCTGTACTAACTTCTCTTTAGGGACTGGTAATAAATAAACAGCATTGACTTTGGTCATCACCAGTCGTCCAGCCAAAGTATCTTCCGAAAGTGTTTTAGTAAGCTTAAAGCGGCCGAAAAGTTGTCCATTCTGAGCATACTTTGCACCTCCAGAAACTCCAGTGAGCATGAAGCTTGCTAGAATCTGCAACTGCACTTTAAGGTTGAACCTAAATCAGAAATAAAAAAACACTTTGAATATTTTACATCAAAAATGTAAAAACCAGAAGATAAGACAAAATAAACCAAATATAAACATACCAAAAAATAAAACTTCCTATCAGTTCCACTCCATTGAGCTATAAGCTATCTACTAGCTTTCTGTCTTTAATCCAACCAAGATGGAGACAATAAATACTTTTTAAGAAAATTAACTCCCACAAAGTTACTTAAGAATGCATACTTAGTCATGCTGAAGAACGCACACACTCAAAAAAGTTTCAGTACTTGAAACTAAAAGTGATTTTTTAATGAAATGAAATATTTATTAATTAATTTGAAAATCTGTTTATCACACCACTGGAACAATTAAGAGTTTAAAATCACCTGGGACCAGAAGGAAATGCACTGCATTGGACATAGGACTTTTATTAAATCTGACTGCTTTCCAAATAGATCTTACCAAACAAGTCTAACCATGAAATTTCACCCTTCAATACTGTTAATGAATAACATTCAGAATAAATTTTTGTTCGTGGCTACATCAAGGCAGATCCCATGCAGGAACTATAGAAAAAGAAGTGAAGGCTATCTTATCAGACAATGGTTGGTGCAGCAGTCACTCAAGCTTACATGTATAAATGTATCAGAGAGAACATGTGTGTAAACAGATTAATTTACACAGTCAAGAAATATGAAGTGAAAGAAAGATCTGAACACTGACAGCTCTTCTCCTTTTCCATTCTGAAATAGTGTTATAAGAAGAAAGACAAGGTGATGACAAGTAATGAGTACATTTCTCCTTTCTCTTAAAAGGTTTAAAAATTTGAATGAACAAAAAATTATTTTAAAATCTATATATCCATTTATGGAAAAGACTACTTCTTAATGGTACTACTGAATTGTTTTTTTTTTTCAGGTCTTCTTTTATATACGTGATGTAGAGAACGTCTTATAAATCCTTAAGGAAAAAAGAAAAAACACTTTTTTAAGACATTATAAATTTCTTTAATGAAAATATTTGTATTGCTTGCAATATTAGGAAAGCAAATACTCTAATTAAAATACTACATTAAAATATTAAATATCCATTTATATAAAGTTAAAAAATTATAAGGCTATTTATGTAAGTACAGAGAAATATTTTTATAGAAATAATATTTAAGGAAAGCAACACATCTGAATAGCAATTTGTGCATGCAATAAGTCTTAACAGTTTATAAGTCCCATTAGTAATTTAAAAATACATTTGAAACAGAAGACTTAAGGTTCCAAAAAGATATCTAAACATATACTAAAGTTAAATTTAATAATGTGATTTTGTTTTAAAAAAAATGAAATGAATTCTAGCAGTATTTGCCTAATATACATAGGTGGAATCTTTTAAAATTACATTGTATTTCTCTCATTCTCTATACACATTTCACTAGGTCCAAATAAGAGAAGTAGGATGGAAATGTTTTTAAATACAGATAGCACGTTATCTAGTTATGTTTGACTCTTCCAAAGATTGGATGTGCATTAAGGAGTTTTAAAATGAAAGTGGAACAAAGTATACAATACCAAAAAACAATCCGAATCCATCACCGTGGAGTCATTTCCCACTCCTAGCGACCCTATAGGACAGAGCAGAACTGCCCCATAAGGTTTCCAAGGAGCAGCTGGTAGATTCAAACTGCAGACCTTTAGGTGAGCAGCTGAACTCCTAACCATTATGCCACCAGGGCTCCAAAGTATACTATACTTCCTAGTTTACATATAATCTATGTTCCACCTGCTTCTTTACAAAACATATGCTTTAAAAAAAAAAAAAAAAAGAACAGGTAAACACAGAAAAAAACAATCCTTGATGGTAACGAGAGGGGAGAGGGGTGGGGAGCGAAAATCACTAACTAGATAATAGAAAAGTGTTGACTTTGGTGAAGGGAAAGACAACACACCATATAGGGGAAGTAAGCACAAATTGACCAAGGCAAAGTCACAGAAGCCTCCTAGACACATCCAACCACCCTGGGGGGACCGAGTTACTGGGGCTGAGGGCTGGGGACCATGGTCTCAAGGGACATCTAGGTCAACTGGCATAACATAGTTCATAAGGAAACTGTTCTACATCCTACTTTGGCGAGCAGTGTCTGGGGTCTTAAAAACTTGCAAGCGGCCATCTAAGATACATCTATTGGTCCCATCACTTTCGGAGCAAAGGGGAATGGAGAAAACCAAAGACATACGGAAGATATTAGCCCACAGGACTAATGGACCACATGAACCATAGCCTCCACCAGCCTGAGCACAGAAGAACTAGATGGTGATGGTGCCCAGTTACCACCAACAATCACTCTGATGGACATCACAACAGAGGGTCCCAGACAGGGCAGGAAAAAAATGTAGAACCAAATTCAAATTCACAAAAAAAGACCAGATTTATTGGTCTGGCAGAGACTGGAGGAACCCCCAAGACTATGGTCCCCAGGCAATCTGCTAATTCAGAACTGAAGTCACTCCCGAAGTACACCTTTCAGCTAAAAATTAGACAGGCCTATAAAATAAACAATAACACATGTGAGGAAGGTGCTTCTTAGATCAATCAAATACACGAGACCAAATGGGTAGCACCTGCCCAAAAGCAAAGACAAGAAGGCAGGAAGGGACAGGAAAACTGGATGAACGGACATGGAGAATCCAGAGCGTAAAGGGAAAGGGGGAGAGCGCTGACACATTTGTGACACAATGTCACAAAAAAGTATGTGTATAAAATTTTTGAATGAAAAACTAATTTGTGCTGTAAACTTTCACCTAAAACACAATAATACTAAAAAAAAAAGAAAAAGTACAGGAAAGCTTACATTATTCACGCTTTCTCAAATGAAGTTAAAATTTTACTTCCCTTTTACTACCCATATAATGTAAGTGAGGTGTACGGGTCATTAAAAACCTTCTCAGAGGGAAAAGATGACTCAGGGTACATTCATGATTCACAAATGAGCTCTTTGTGGAAAAGTCAATGTACAGTTTTCAGATTTTTGTTTGTTTCCCTCTTTGGAACCACTCTCCTCTTGCTTTAAGTTTCCTCTTCCACTGGCTTCTGTAAAGTCCCACTCTCCTAGTTTCCCTCCTACCTCCCTAGCTCTCCTCCACCTCTATCCACCTTCTAAAGCTTCACCCTGCCCTCTTCTTATTCACCCTCTCCCAGCTCTCCCACCTCAGCTCAGAGCTGTAAATCTAACTGCCAGAGAGGCATCTTCACTTATATGCCCTTCAAATTCAGTCTATGTAAAACTGAATCACCATGTGACCTCTCCACATGTCACCCCCAAACCAATCCCCCCGTGTATTATACAATTTAGAGAATGGCACCACCATCCACCTAGAGTCTCAACCAGAAACCAAGTCATTCCCAACTCTGCCTCTCTCACCAACCTTAATTCCCCTTCATACAACCACCAAGCCCTGTTAGTTCCTCCTCCTAATTCATCTGCATGGCCACTACATTACCCTCAACATTTAACCTGGAGCACCATAACAAACTCCAAACTTGACTTCTTGCCTCAAATCCATTCTCCACACCACCACAAGAGGATCTCTGTAAAATGTAAAGTGTAAGTCTGATGATAAGCAGCTTCCTATAGCTCTGAAGATAAAGTTTAAACAGCTCTTTATCTCTCATCTATCTCCCCACCACACAGGGGCCCTCCATGAAAACTACAATGGCCAAATTTGCAGCTTCCCCCAAAACCCTATACTCCAACTCTTGTATCCTGCTTCCTTTAACTAAAGACCTTTGCCCTACTTCTGAACCTGGCAACTTTTATCTGTTTTCCAAAATACAGCTAACTACCATCTTCGCCAAAATCCACTGATTGACTACCCTCTTTCTCCCCACTAATCTGGGATAAGTGCCCATCCCATGGGGTCCTTGTGCATGCCTCTATCACAGTGATAATCACACTGTATTACAGCCTGACATTTATGTCTATCTCCCCTACTAGATTATAAACTTTAGGGGGACAAAGAAACATACCCTGTTTGCCTCAGAATCAGCCCAGAACCTAACACTTTGGGTACTCAATAAATTTTGTTCATTGAATTAATTTTACATTTTTGTAACACTCTCATTTTTTCCAGGCACCATAATCCCATTCCAACCACTTTACATTATTCTCTAACAAATTCTAAAAATCCTGTGATGTATTTCTCAACTAACTTAGGCAATATATTAAAGTTGTACGGTTAAATCTATTTTGAATCTGCCACTCCAAAACACTTGATTACAATTTAGCAGGCATGAAAAATTAATCTCAGTTTTAGAGCAACAAGAGAATCCGCGTGTGACATTTAGTTGTAGCTTCAACCTAACCTCTTGCAGTAAAGGCACTAGAAGATGAAAGTACTGAGACACACAACTTAGTACTTCATCACATGTTCAAAATGCAGACACTACAGACTTTCTAGTAGAAGTGTGGCTACTAATACTTAATTTTTCTAGAAGATTAACAGACTAAATCCGAAATCACCTTAATAAGCTCTCTTAGGCATTTAAAATAATACATATTTTTCAAACATAATAATTCAGAAACACCTAAAATACAAAATATATCCTATAATATTTTTTATTCAAAAGAAAAATCATCTTTCCATTTTTACATGTCGTATTTTGAAATCAATCTTAAAGCTTACATAATTTCTAATCTTTTGGGGAATGGCAGAATAGTAGTCAATCAAATTTTCAACCAACTGAAATCATAATTCTAACTAATGAGAAATACGGCTCTATCAACCTTAACAATAGTTTTTTATATATATATATATATATATATACACATATATATATATATATATCTTGAGGAGTGTAACTTTAAAAAATTTTCAAAGCCAAATAGTGAATTCCAATGTGATTTCTGACTATATGAACAACAAAAATCAACCAAGATAATGAGACAATCCCTGGGTTTACTGAGGCAGAACAACCCAACCAAAATATAGCCCATCAATGCCTTACCCATCTTGATGACGAAATGTGCATCTCCACACTAAACCTACCATGCCCGCAGTCAGCTATTGAGAGGCCAAGCTCAAGGATTAGGTATGCCACTGCACAGTTTAATGAACAAAATAGCTTCAGCCAAAGTCAATTTCTTTTGAAAATGCGTATCTTAGAATCAAACAGATTTCACTTCAAGGTAGAACTGTTATTGAATGCACATCAAAAAGTGCCTGAAGAAAAGAGAAGTAAAAGAAAGTCCAGAAAGAAGCATTTCTTGGAAGCATTTTTTGAAATTTAAATGAAATGCAATATTGTCTTTATCATCTGCAGACATCTCACACTAAAACTTAACATAAGAAGAAATTTTAATTTCTGGACTGTTTGGAAAAATCATCCCCTTCTTTAAAAAATAAGTACACACATACACTTGATTACTAAATCCAGCCTCAAGCCAAAATATATTTTGTCTAACCTTGAGAGCCTTCATTTAATCTATTTTCAAGGAAGGATTGCAAAGATGACTGTGTAATAAGGTATAGTCCAATCCTTGTAATCAAAATGTAAGAAACCAGTGTGAATTCCCTTCAGGCTACTTCTGTGATTAGTAATATTCTGCTTAAATGTAAGAAGTTCACAAATGACTGATATATTCTCTTGACCTTGGGAAATATCCTATCAATCATATATTAGGTCTGACTATTATGTCACAAAGAGGCATATTTTAGTGCATAAAGAATACACTTATTACTGTCAATGCACATCCAAATCACTTAAAGTCCATTTAGTTATACCACTGTTTTCTGTCTTTAAATTGGGTCTCAGTCTACAACAAAACATTCTTCACAATTCTAATGTGACCTGAGTGTGCTTTGATGACTGGTACTGATTCAACAGACAAGCAAAATGACCCAATCAGACACACTAGAGCATAACCTGAGTGCCAAATCCAGCCTTCAGCCTGTTTCTGTATGGTCCCTGACTAGGAATGATTTAAAACAAACAGACAAAAACAAAGAAGATATGATGACACAGAGATTGTGTGTGACCCACAACACCTGAAATATTTGTTATCTGGCCCTTTATGGAAAAAGTTACTGCTCTCTGCACTACAGCATAGTTTAGTACCTGCACACAGACCTCCACAAAATCCATTCTTTAAACTGTATCTTAGTTATGCAATTTGTGCTTAAAACATTAACAATCAACTGTAAATTACATTCAAGGTAACATTAAAATACATAAAAAGGTGAAGGAAAAAAATAGAATAACCTTTTTCCAACAATGTATGAAATGTCAAAAATTTTTGAAAATCTTTACAAATGTGACTGTTACACAGACATGCCTACAGATGTCCTCTGAGAACTTGATGCCAATTATTAGCAGAATTTTGTTTCTTTGTATGTTTATCAATTCTTTACTATACTTCACTAAATTCTAAAAGCCTGCCAAATTCAGAAGTGTAATTTACCAGCCTTCATATCCAGGGTTAACTTTGGGAGACAGTATCGCTAGAAATTTTCCAGACTTCTCTAGCACAATATATACCTACTTGTCACACATTAGACATGCAGCATTAAATTTTCTGTCTTTTCAAATCCTTCAAAACTCTAGTATATTTAGCATATACAACATCAAAAGTGATCCTACTTATTTATATTCAGTTTGTAAATATCCCTACTTGAGTCAATAACTATAATCTAATTTTCAAAAGATTAAAACCATAGAGAGAGAAAACTTATATGTTCCTATAAAAAGACTACACACTATCTTATCACTGTCTTACCACAGTGTCTACATTCTGCCTTACCACAATCTCTTCTTTTCATACCTAAAGGCACTTTTACATCACGATTATCAAGTGTTGCCACTGATGACGTGCCAGTTTCCTTTATATTTCTTTGTTTGCTTTTCTTATTATAATAGTAATACGTGGTCATTGCAGAACATTTTAAAAGTAGAGAAAACTATATATTAGAACATGAAAATCACCTGTAATTCCACCAACCAGAATACTTTAATTCCTTCCAATATTTTATATGCAAAAATATACATAAGTATGTAAGTATATGTATGTATATACATACATACAAAAATAAAATGGTAGTGGTAAGGTTTTATAACCAGCATATTTTCCCCTTAATATTACATCACAAGTGTTCTCACTTTATTAAAAATTCTTCAAGAACATAATTTTAATAGGTATATAATATTTGATCATACTGCTATAAACTTATTTTTTTACTACTCTGTGAAAGACATTTGTTCACAGACATCTTTATCTTCATCTGTGAGTACTTCTTCAGGATAAATCCCCATAAGTAGAATTACTACAATAAAAGGTTCAAACCTTCTAAATGCCCTTACTTAATATAAATCACCAAATAGCCTTCCAGAAATATTATACCAACTTAGTATGCCACCAACATTCATTTTATATTGTTGCTAGTTTCAAACCCCTCTTATATTGGCTTTCGTGCCCCTCGTAAGGTGCTCTTAGAGTCAACTTTGACCCACTTAGTTTCTTGATCGAAATCTGACCTCCAAAATGTTGTAGGATTTATTCTTTTTTCATTCAAATTACCATTCTTAAAAGATTTTTTTAATTAATTAATTTAAATTTAAATTAATTTAATTAATTTTTTAATTAATTAATCCACAAGCTTTTTGGTCTTTAGTTATTATATACAGCTCTAAGGTAATATATATTGAATGATTTTTAAACTTTAATAAAATATTAAAGTTAGTATATAATTTTTTCTAAATTTCTAATATGCTACTTAAAAATTGTTTCCAAGATTCTGGTAAGCTTTGAAATGCTATTTTCTTTCCAATATTTATGATTTATCATAGTGTCTTTTCCCAAGGAAAAGGAGAGTATGAGAATGTAAATAATGCACACGTATATACATTACTAACGTGAATAATGTACATGATACAAGGCATTGTGCTTCTTATTTAATATCTGATGATTTCACTAGAACTATCTACAGACACAATCAATAAAAGCCTTTTAAGAGACCATCAACAGGCCATGATTTAAAGTCTTAGATATGAAAAATACACCCTATCTGACTTTGTAAATTTTTAACTATTTAATTTAAAATTAGACACTTTCCATATTAGCCCAAGAGACAGAAAGGGCCACATGAAACCAGAAACTTCATCAGCCTGAGAACAGAAGAACTAGACAGTGCCCGGCTACCACCAATGACTGCCCTGACGGAACACAACAGAGAGTCCCTGATGGAGCAGGAGAAAGGTGAGGTGTAGAACTCAAATTCTAGTAAGAAAACCAGACTTGATGGTCTGACTGAGACTGGAGGAACCCCGGAAAGCATGGCCCCCGGATTCTCTATCAGCCAAGAAATAAAACAATTTCCGAGGCCAACTCTTCAGACAGGGATTGGACTGGATGGACTGTGGGACATAAAGTGATACTCGTGAGGAGTGTACCTCTTAGCTCAAGTAGATACAAGAGACTAATGGGCAGCTTCTGTCTGGAGGTGAGATAGGAAGGCATAGAGGGTTAGGAGCTGGTTGAATAGACATTGGGAATCGGGTGGACAGGAGAAGTGTGCTGTCACAGTATGGGGAGAGAAATTAGGGTCACATAACAATATATGTATAAATTTTGTGTGGGAGACTAACTTGAAATGTAAACCTCATTTAAACTACAACAATAAAAAATAAAATAAAATTAGATACTTTCCAAAAGTTAGATCACACTGAATCTATAAACCGAGTAACACAAAGTTATCTTTAAGTTTTCACTTCTTTTTCCTTTCCTGAATATATTCCATCATGAGTTGTTCAGTAAAAATCTATGAAAGATAAGGTGCTCTTGAGGCAGCTTGAAGAAGAAAAATATGTTGCTTATGCTATACTGAAAAAAAATAACATTTATAAAAATGTGTTCATGTTTCATAACCGTGGTTCAATTTTTAAGGCTCATTCCTGTTTTATCTAAAAAGTAGAATGCTATTACCAAATTTAGTAACTATTTCACTAACAGTCTGCCATCACTGAAACTTTCATTTCTAAGATTATTTTCCCTAAAATGATTCAAATAAGCTTTTGATTCAAGCACTTGGTCTTAACCTGTGGCATACAGATAAAATGTAAAATATGTTAAAGCATTTATAAACTACTATAAAAGTACTTTATTACTATCAAACAATTTTCCCAAAGATCTACATTGTTTCAGTCTTAAAATTATGGTCAAAATATGTGGTCTCTATCAATTTTTATACATTTATTCAACAACTATTCGTTCAGTGCTTGCTATGACTACCACTGACTGAAAGTTCCTTAAGAGCACGGATCACATATTTAAAATCCCAGCACATGGCAAAGAGCTTGTCATCTAGTAGATGCTTAGTAAGGGCTTATGGAGATAAACTATGTATGAAGCACTAGGGATACCAAGATGAGCAGGACACAGTTCTTGCCTTAAAGATAGAATACAGCTATTGAATAACAACCATCTCGCTCCCTGTCTTAACTTAGGCACACCTCCATTTTAAAAACTAAAAATACCATCCAAAGGAGAGATAAAAATAAGAAATGTTTCTAAAGTAACTTACTTGCTGACTTCTTTATACTGGGCTATCTCTTCAATATAAAGAAGGTCATGCAACCGTGACTGATAGTTGCTCTTGGTCAATGATTTGTCTAAAACAGACTGGGTAAATAGCTGGTCAGCAGAAAGAGGAATTTGGTATCTGATAAGAAGGCTCTTCTCCAAATCAGTAGTTTCATTAGGCTCAAAATCTATAATAGTCTTAGAAGAAGAATCCCAACGCTTAGCTGTGGTTACTAGCTGTTGTCTTGCATGCATCAGGTATTCAAGATCTAAATAGAAACAAAAACATATTTATAAAGGAGCACAACATTAAAATTCTCAAATAATACATTACACATTTTGGCAAGAGAATTGTACATGCTAGAGTTAAAATACAAACCAAAACAACACGAAAACCCATTCGACAAAGTATTTTCTCCTGTATCAGAAATATTTTTTTATCTAGTTTTAACAAAATAACATAATAGGAGTCCATGTAAAAAATATCTTTTTTACATCAGGCTAGGACATATCAGAAATAGTTATTAATATTTTAAAAATATAGAGTAACATTTTGAAGTTAACAGTTCAGTCAAGAGAAATTTGATATGCAAAGCAAATAGAATAAATTCCTCATTAGACACATTCTATCAGGTATTAACCACTTTTCTCTTCCTATTACTAATAGTTAACTTGACCACTATAAACAGGAAAGCGAAAAAGGGAGGATGTGGAAGGAGGGATATCATTGCAGATGTCAGTGGATCTTTGCTGAAAGCTGAGAATACTAGAAAGATGCTTACCTGTGTTTTATTGACTATACAAAGACATCTAACTGTGTGGATCATAACAAATTATGGATAACACTGCAAAGACTGGGAATTCCAGAACACATGATTATGTTCATGCGGAACCTGTACATAGCCCAAGAAGCAGTCATTCAAACAGAACAAAGGGATACTGAGTAGTTTAAAATCAGAAAAAGTGTGAGTCAGCATTATATCCTTTCACCATACTTATTAAATCAATATGCTGAGCAAATAATCTGAGAAGCCAGACTATATGAAGAAGAACACGGCATCAAGATTGGAAGAAGACTCACTAACAACCAGAGATGTGCAGATAACACAATCTTACTGGCTGAAAGCGAACAGGACTTGAAGCACTTACTGATGAAGATCAAAGACTACGGCCTTCAATACAGATTACACATCAACATAAAGAAAACAAAAATCCTCTGGACCAATAAGCAACATCACGATAACTGAAGAAAAGATTGAAGTTGTCAAGGATTTCGTTTTACTTGGATCTATAATCAATGCCCATGGAAGCAATATTCAAGAAATCAAATGGCATATTGCATTGGGCAAATCTGCTGCAAAGGACGTCTTTAAAGTGTTAAAAAGCAAAGATATCACTTTGAGGACTAAGGTTAGCCTCACCCAAGCCATGATATTTTCAATCACTTCAAATGCATGTGAAAGCTGGACAATGAATAAGGAAAACTGAAGAAGAATCGGTGTCTCTGAATTACAGTGTTGGTGAAGAATATTGAATACGCCACGGACTACCAGAAGAACGAACAAATTTGTCTTGGAAGAAGTACAGCCAGAATGCTCCTTAAAAGCGAGGATGGCGGGCCTTCGTTTCACATACTTCAGACATGTTATCAGGAGGGACCAGTCCCTGGAGAAAGATATCATGCTTGGTAAAGCAGATGGTCAGCAAAAAAGAAGACCTTTAATGAGATGGACTGACACAGTGACTGCAACAACGGGCTCAAACATAGCAACGATTGTGAGGATGGCGCAGAACCCAGCAATTGTTTTGTTCTGCTGTATGTAGGGTTGCTATGAGTCAGAACCAACCCAACGGCACCTAATAACAACATTAATCACTTTTCTCCTCCTATTACTAATACTTAACTTGCCCCACTATAAAAACAGAAGATGATCAAAAAAATATGAAAGGCTAAATCTTTTGTGTGTGTGGGGGGGGGGTAAAAGCACAGTGAAACTGTGAAAATCAGCTTCCTACAAAACAAGAATCTTTCAGAAAATATTCATGTAAGTCACTGCTAATTCCACATGGAAATGTGATGCAAGGTACCACTCACGTGCAACTTCAGAAAAATCCAGTATGCCTCAGTGAAATTACCCTGTAAGTAGGGCATAATGTCAAAATAAATGACAGTTCAAGTTCTGATGTCTCTGAAAAAAATGTTAAACCCACTGTACCACAAATTCTGAGCACTGCACAGGTTCCCTCTGTCTATAGTGCATATGACTTTTCCTTTGGGTAGAACACAGATCCACCTACCAAAACAGAACTGGACCCCAGGAAAAAAAAGTCGTTTGATTCATTAGACCAAGATCCTGGTTTAATATAACGTAAAATGGAAAAATGGTTTGACAACTGAAGTTAAAATTTTAAGAAAATTTTTTTTAAAGGTTTAGCCAAAGATCAGTTAGTCTCCAAAGTACAAAGACAAGTTACCTTATACTAAACGAATATGAAATGAGAACATGATGTATAATTGCCACATCTTGCTTAGTGAGAGATTTTCTACATTTAAAATGTTATATTTGCATTATAAATATATAGTTATCCACCAAAAGAAATTTCTCAGTATTAACAAATAGCCTATCATAATACCTTAAGAAAAATAGCCAAAAATGTAAAGGCCCTAATTTCTAGCCTTTGCTCCTTGAAAAGACAGTTTTATTATTCCTCAAATGACAACACAAATACAACTATAATCAGAAAGCTGTAAAGATGGTCTGCCTTTTAAAATACTCTGAATGAGATGAAGGTGGTCTATTTTTGCAATAGCCTCATAAGAAGTTTCTGAAAGTAAACTAACCACGTTTTCCTCCTAAATCATTCTAAAATTGGGTTCTGCCTACTCATTCATTAGCTCATAGTTATAAAAAATATTTAAATTATACAAATGTGAACCCTTCTAAAACAGATTATACCACTACTAAAGATTAGATGCTAATTATTATCAAAATAGCAAGTATGTATATAATTTTCTTCCTTAATTCAAGAGTCAAAAAGAGAAACAATGGTTATCAGCATTGGAACCAATTAAGCAGCCCTTAAGGAATAAATAAAAATTAAACTCTACATAATATTGTAGAGTGCATCTAATATATAACAAAAGAGTTTCTAACTACTACTTGGGGGTAGTCAGGCATGGGGAAATTGTATTTCATCATTTTATTTTAAATAAGATTTAATTCAGATTACGCCTAGGTCAATATTAAGTTCACATATTTTAAAAAGTTATTAGTTACTCGTAACTAATGTTAAAGCAGCTGAGACAATCTGAAAAAACCAAACTGTCAAGTTGATTCTGACTCATAGTGACCCTATAAGACAGAGTAGAACTGCCCCATAGGGTTTCCAGGAGCACCTGGTGGATTCGAACTTCCAACCTTTTAGTTAGCAGACGCGTTCTTAACCACGGAGCCACCAGGGCTCCAACAAACCTAAAATAGTACACCTTTCCTTTGAAAAAGCTTTTCATACTACCTATTTAATATGTACACAGAATTATACAGAAAATCTTTCTGTTCTAGGATACAAGTATTCAGGTTTTTTGGAAAAAGTGGCATGAACAATAGTAATTGTTTTTCTCATTTTATCTATATAGATGCATGATTTCAACCCTTATTTTATGGAACTCTTAAAAGTATCTTCTGCAATCTCAAAGGGTAGCTCAACAATTTCAAAACAATTATCAAGCAAAGTTAAATTTTTTTCTTTTTTTTTCTTTTTTAATACCTATAAGCCCAGTGCATGGGAGGGGAGAGCTGGCGGAGCAGAAAGAAGAATCTTGGAAAAAAATTGATGTGTGTCAGCATCCAAGTCTACATACTGTCAATCTAAGTCATTAAGTCAGGTGTCAAAAATAAACTGTGGCCAGTGACTACTGAGGATATATTTTGCAAACGCCATTCTCTTTCCCTACTTCATCAGAAATAGAGTCACACTTCTGCCTCCAATTGTCTCCCCTGTAAGAAGAAATTTAGTAAATCTGTTTAATTACCCACTCAACTTACAGAGGAGCCACGGTGGCGCAATGGTTAAGAGCTCGGCTGCTAACCAAAGGGTCGGCAGTTCGAATCCACCAGCCACTCCTTGGAAATCCTACGGGGCAGTTCTACTCTATCCTATAGGTTCACTATGAGTCAGAATCAACTCGATGACAATGGGTTTGGTTCGGGTTTGGGTAACTTACAACGCTTAAAAGTTGTTAGGTCTTAAGAGTTCCCCTTTAAATAAGAGGAGGGAGAAGATGAAGACAGAACCCCCTGGGGAACAATGGACATGACTACTGCCAAGACTCACTTCACCCACACCTGCGGCATCTGCACACCTGCTAACATCTAAACTACATATGTGCATTGCTCAGGGCAGCCTGAGCCAGCTCATGCTTGGTACGTACTTTTTTCAACCTAGATTAGGCTAAAATGAAAACACTCAGGAAATATGAAAAACAAGCAAGTTCGGATCCATAATCATAAAACAGTTTAGGATTCATAAAACTGTTCAGGGAGAGTTTAACACTGACTTATTTACCAACTCCTTTAATACTCAATCTCCAAGCAAACGTGACAGAAATTTTAAACCTACAGAACTTGTTACCCTGAGATGTAGGCAGAAATTATAAATAAATTTTAAGAGATTCATAGGAAAAAGATAACCACAATGTAATCTTTTGAGGATAACACAAGGAAAGGGTTACCATTGTGAAAAATAGTATTCAAGGTTGGAATGACTACTCTGATACAAGATACATTTCCCAACTTCCCTTGCCCTTCTGATTACTGAGAATACCAGTGCTCTCATTTCAGACAAATAGGTACTATTCTAATAAAGAATAAAGAACCCAAAGGGTCAGTTCATTTTGTCTTGAAGTATGTAGTATATTGTACTTGGAAAATTTCTTTAACAGGACCTGAATACTGGATACAAAGGAAGTAAGGGGGAAAAAAATCTTGTGTTCTAAATGCCCAGCATAAAAGATGGTGCGTAAGAGGCATGCAATAAACGTGTATGACATACGGAATTTCTTTAGAAAACAGCTATATTTATCTAGGACCTAAAGGGACTAAGATGAAATGCCTTCTAATTCCAAAATTAGATACTACACCCTTCCTTGAAAAATATTTTGGCCTATACCTTTACAAGTCTTGATTGCCTATACTAACAATAAAATAAAATCCAAAAGTAACCCCAGACTACCACTTCAGCTATCCCCTTCAATATCCTTCCTTTCAGC